GCACTCAGCAGTCCCTGGGTTGGCTGCTGCCCCCTGGCTGGAGAGGAGAGGTCCAAAGCAAGAAGTTTTGGAAACAACCTGGTTTCTGTTTGTGTTGTGGTCCTTCTAAGTCAGATAGGCAGCCTAGACGTGTGACCAGCTGTCCATCTTGGCCTCTAGGGCTGGAGGCTGACGGTGACGGGCTTTGTTGGGATTTGTGTTAAGGTGTGTTTCCGCTGTTATTTATTCCCTGAGAGCCCTTACTGACCAAGGGCTTTTCTTTGCACAGATTAATCCTGTGTCTGGGATGACTAGATAGTCTAAATATTCTGGCATAGACCCAATTCCAAACATTTTGTCTTTATTCCTTCCATCCTTCCAAATGTATTTATTGAGCATCTATTTATGCTGAGTATTAGCAACATAGCTGTGAATGTGGCTAAGACAGTCCCTGCCTTTGTGGGATCTGTTGCATTGCAAGGTCATATATTCTGATTTAGAATTTGGGTAATATCACTGGCCTTGCTAACCCAAACTCTGATGGTAGTAAACCCAAACCCAATGGTAGTAAAAAGCTTTTAAAGTAGGAATTTAGGTTGAGTTATGTTCTAAGGCATTTGCTGCCAAATTTATCTTTAGGGAAAACAGCCTTATTATGAACCCGTAGGTAAATTTTATGAGTATGCCCAGGGAACAGCTTAATTGAGGGATTCTCTGTATATGTTACTGATTACACCTGTTGTTAATGCTGATGCATTTCACTTAGGGAATATGGAGTGTCCTTTCAGTTGTTTGTTTCCATTTCCTTTCTTTGTTAATAGTTTTCTTTTCATTCTATACATTTATTAGGGCTTTTGCTTTCAAGGAGATTTTTGGCTAGTATTGTTTCATGCCAGGAGGTTTTTAGTAGGTCTAGTATACATTTTTAAAACTTAATTTTTAAATACCAAGCAGCATTTTAAGGGGGTTTTAAAAAACTTTTAATTATAGAATGTTTTAAACTTACACAAGAGGAGACTGAATTGTGTAATGAATCATTGACCCTTCACTTGGCCCCAGCAACCCTCCACCCATGGCCAGTCCTGCCTCACCTAATGCCCCACTCACCACTTCCTCTACCTAGTATGAATAAATAAATGTGTCATACATATTTCAGCATGTTTCTCTAAAAGATGAAGACTGTTTCTTAATATTATAACAATGCTTTTATTATGCCCCAAAAAATTAATAGGGGAGGTGTTTTAAAGAATATGAGAGAAGACTTCAGCCATAAAACGCCTTGCCAAACATATCAGCAATTTTAATTTTCTTCTTTGTTCTCCAGTTTTTGACCAAAAGCACTCTGACATTTTGTAAATATGATAGCAGTCTCTGCTCCTTTGCCAGCTTTCTGGATGTATGTGTTACGATCAGGGCAAACATCAGCCATCTGTCCTTTATCTAAGAGGAACAAGGGGTGTTCCCTTCTGCTGGACCACATTTATATGTTCTGGGTAATTCACCAGAACCTCTTCCGACTTCTAAAACTCCCTATTCATTCAACAAATATTTACTGAAAAAGTTATTGCGTGTCAATTACTGTTAGATGCTGGGAATTTTAGTGGAAAAGAAGACTAACAAGGCCCTAGATGTCTTGGAACTTTGCTTGATAGGGAAGCAGGCCTTCCATATATGAGAGGACTTCACAGAGTTTGTGGGAAAATAGACATGAATGTAATTTGAATCTTTCCATGAACTTTGTGAAGTGCCCTGTGTAAGGATACTCATAGTCACTCAGTTATGGTTGTGGTGAATGGAATGTGGTGAATGTGGTGAACTGCTGTGAGACCAGACGGGAGACCTAACCAGTCTGGAAGGGATTGCTGAGGGAGGACATTTCAGCCCACTAGTGCAGGCAGAAGGAACAGCATGTGTGAATGCCCAGGGGCAGAGAGGAGGTTGGCGATCAAGGACTAGAAGGGAGGCAGCAAGTCTGGATGGAGTTGGGGGTGGTGTGGGGAAGGGGAGAAGAGCCCCCCCATCCTGGGCCTGCCTCTGCCAAATGGCCCCAGGACCTGCAGGCCATTCTGTTGGCTTCCCTATCCCTGGAGACTCTGAGATGACACATGGAGATGTGAGTTCCAATTCCTCTCCTGGCTCTTAGCTATTTTGGAGGCATTGCAATCAGGCAAGAGCTTAGATTTGGAAAGTCATAGGCAGGCACTTGAATGCTGCCACCTTGGAAGAACTAGTAATATTTACATGGTAGGGTTATTGTGAGGGTTAAAGAAAATATCGCCTTTAAAGATTGCTAGACAACCAATATTTTCTCCCTTCTCTTTCTTTGTAAATGTTCCTTCCCTTTCCATGTCGTAGCCCAGCAGCTCCTCAAGCTGCCTCAGGAATCCTCTCCTTGTAGAATCCTCTGTATCTAGCCACGTGAGTTTTCCTGCTAGCCCATCCAACTCAGAGAGCCTTTGGTTTGCAGAAATGCATTTCACCAAAAGCCCTGTGTTGTCATCAGCTTGTTTCTCAGGAACTGGGAGGAGTCCGTGACTGAAAGCACATGCTTTTGTTTCCTGGTATGTGGGGAGTTTCATTAGAGCTTTTCCTCTTCCTAATTATATGTCTAGTAAATTGGGGCCAACTTAATGCCAGCTTGTTACTCCACCAAGAACCATTTAATAGCTCAGTCACCTAAACATACCCACAAATTTAGGGGGTAGCGTCAGTGCCTGTGTGGCCCAGGTGTGAGGGACAGAAGAGGAAGCATTACCAGAAGCAAATACAAAGTGTCACAAACCATTGTGTCCCATCTCTGCCCAAGTATGTGCAGAAAAGTGAGAAGCAATGGATGTTTTGCTTTCTTACTTTTAAAAAAAGCTCCCGTTTTTTTTTTTTTTTTTTTTTTTTTTTTTTCCCGGGA